TAATTCTATTTATTTAAACCAGTATTTCCAAAGTTATTTGGCTAGAGAACACCCGCATCCCCAATAATTCCTAGTCACACCCCGTAGAACACCAGCTGCATTCATCACTATACCTAAGTGACAGAAGTAAAGGTGTTGGGAATAGCTGCTACACATTCCAGGAGAAAAGAGAAGGAAAGTGGGCACGAAGCAGAACACACTGGTCCCCTAGGGCAGCAGGGGGCCGGCCCCTGGTAGGAGAAGCAACTTTGGGGTGTGAGGTAGGATCCCTGTCAGAGAACCGCCCCCTCACCAAGAACAGCCAAAGGAAAGCAGGTTAGTGGCGGTGGGGAGGGGGAGGTGGGCAGCAGAGGCCCCCATGCTGCTCCCCAAATTACTCTAGAAGTGGCCTCTCGCTCAAACTGGAGCGAAAGACTCCCTTCCAGCTGCCTCCCACCTCCCGCAAAGAGTTCCATTTGCTGGAGAATTACAGGCACAAAGAGACACAGTCTGTTCCCTCAGATGCCAGTACTAGGAACAATGCCTTTCTCAGTCTCCCTTCCAGGCCTGGGGGACTGCCACCTGCCCCAACTATTAGGTGCTGGCAGTCAGGCTGCCTCTCTGTGTCTAGGCCTCGGTTTCCTAGTTTGTAAAATGTTTGGGTTAGAGTGGAGATCGCTAAGGTTTTCTCCAGCTCTATGTGTTCTGAAGTTTTATGAGAGCTTGGAGACCGGGATTCGAATTCCTGTGCTGTTATGAACTAGCGGTGACATTTGAACCAATAACCGCTGCTCCCTGTGCCTCTCCTATAAAAGACATGCACACGGGGGGACTCTGCTGCCCACGTGCAATAATGCATAGATCATCAGTGGTGACCGAAAAGCCGCTGTAGAAAGGGCAGGTGGTGTTCTCCGTTTGGGGCGTGGCACCTATGGGTGGCCACTGTCTGTATGCAGAGTCCATTTGTCTCCTTCGTTTTCCTCAGTGCTTTCCTCCGTTCTGTCCTCAGTCTGTCTTGTGAGCTAGTGTTTACTCTGCTCTTCTCCACTCATCATTCACTCAACTGTATTTGCTGGGAGTGCTCGCCGCCCACATTCTGCGGGGTGTCCAACAGTTGGGCTAATGTTGAAGATTAACAGACTTAAAATAATTTCACGTTTGTCTACATTTGGACGAAGGTTGACCGGAAATATACCACTGGGCTGTTAACACAAAGGACTTCAAGCCAAAAATCTTTAACTTACATCTCGATGTATATAGAAACCATCAATTCTATATATAAACCATCAATTCTACAGAATTTAGATCCTGGTGGCTTTTCTGCAAGAACTCTTACTTCTCTCCTCTGACTCTAGTAGAACTGCTGTTCTATGAAAACAAACTTCTCCTTCCTCCATTCAAACTTTTTCAAACTTTTTGCTGCTTTCAGACTGCCCCTTCCCGAGGCTGGTCAGAATTGGATGTTCTTTGGTTCCCATCAGAGAACCTGGCTGCGCCCTTTTTGAGGGTACAGATAGTGTGCTGAGAAACATAATCATAATAAGTAGCATGGCTTAACTGGGCACGTACCATGTGAACGAAGTGCTTTATTTACATTATCTAATTTAATCCTCTCAACAGCTGAGTTGACTTGGGCAGTCTGAGGCTTGGTTTGATGAAGAACCTTTCCAAGGCTCCTAAGGATTGGAAAATTCAGTCGTTAAATGGGGGAGTTGGTTAGTTAAGGAAGGTGGGCTGCAATCTGACTCTATAACCGCGGCTTTCTGTTGCCATGTGACTTCTGTTTCTTCAAGAAGACATCTTGAAAACTCCCTAAGACAACCTATAAACATCCTTTTGACTGAGGATCATGGGTTAATTTACTTGGGGCTTTTTCAGCAAAGGAGAGTGACCTTGCTGGGCTTCCTTTAGTCCGTGTCCTCTTTTGCTCACCACTGCCCCGCCTCTGCAGCACACCTGTGGCAGGTATGCCCATTACTGGGTATTCCAGGCCTCGGAGGAATGTGGCAACAATTCTTCATTTGGTTCCAGTTTTCTAGGACTTGGAAACAGCTCCCAGCCTGAGGATTTTATAACCTGGAGTCTGTTCCTTGGAGCCTGGTCTGAGGAAAATGCTGAGGGCCCTGTGGAGAAAGGGGCTGTGTTGTGGCCTCTGGGCCTGGCTGTAGGCTGGAAGGCAGTGTCCACGTGTCCACTGGGATACAATGGGCGCACACAGTGAGCTTGTGGCCCTTGGGACCTGCTGAGCCCAAAGGTCAGATTATAACCCCTGAAACAAAGCCTTGGGCTTAGGCTGTTACTCATGCATTTGGTTCTGTCCTCACTAGGCTTGGCTGGGACTCTGCACTCCCGGGAGGAGGGGCTTTCCACCCAGCAGTTCTTTGCAGCTGCTTGACCACAGTGCCTGGCTCTAGCAGGCAGCACTGGGCCAGAGGCACAGCCTCGGGTGCTGGACTTGGGCAGTATCGTCCTCAAGGAGAGGGAGGCTGGCCTTGGCCATGGGAGCCAGGGGGCCCGGGAGTGAGCCAGTGTGGCTGCCCAGCCTCAGGGACATGTTTCCCTGAGGTGATTATTGGCCAAGGAGGAGAAAGCAGCCAGCCAGGCCCCATTAAAATGCTGTCACTGGCGAGGAATCGCCTCTAGGAACTATCCCCTGCAGGGCTGACAGAATCTGAAGGGGCAAACTCCAAGTTTTCCAGCCGCATTTCCCACCCAAGCCTCTGGAGGTTACTAGGGGAGCTGTGGCCCAGGAGAAGGCCGGCTTGCCAGGTGTTTCTGAGAGCTGAGGGCAATCATTGCCACAGCCACCCTGTATCCGGCCGTCACCCACGCCAGGTACTGGACTCACTGTCTGTTTTCCTGGCCAGAGCTCTCCAGGCTTGGCGTTGTTATCCCCATTTTATAGATGGAGCTCAAAGAGCTAAGTAACATGCCCCATTTTTAACTGGCTGGACCAGGATTCAAACTCAGATCTGTCTGGGTTTCTTTCCAGTCCACCATTCCACCTCCTCAGAAGGTAGCAGTGACCCAACCCAAGAATTTGATCTTGAGTGAACATCTGGGCAGCCGCCACGGCCATGGGGCTTCTGGGCGTCTCCATGAGAAGAAGAGGGAATGGAATATGGCACTGGGGTAAAGGCATTAAATATCACTTCCGTGCATGGACAAGAGAGAGAAATGCTTCTATGCAGAGGCATCATACTGCTAGGAACAAGTTGCCCTCCATCTTGTTCTTGTCCTGATTTCCAGGGGTAGGTCCACAGTGAAACAGCTAGTCTTGTGGGAAACTACGGTGTTTGAAAGCCACACAAAAGCAGAAGTCTTTCTGTAGCTTTTCTGACTTAGTGATAACTTCTGGATTTCACCCAGGCCATCAGGTCTCTCTTACCTCTGTACCCCTCGTAGACCTCAGCACTCAGTTTACATGCGATTGCCGTCTATCCTCAATTTCAACATGTCCTTGATCCCAAGAAGCACACTTTTTCACACTTTAATATCTGTGCAATTGGCACACATCTTGTAGATGAGGTCTACATTTAATGTGATGGGGCTGTTTAAATTGATGTTATAGTTTTAGACTTGATGGAGATCAAGAATTGAGGAAATGTGGTAATTCATGCATGTATTCAACTCATCAAATGCCTATAATAAATGTCATTGTGTATAACCAGTAGGCAGCCCCTAGGGAGGTCACAGTCTGTGGAGGGGTGGGGGGGGGATGGACAGGAAGATAGACTAGATGAATCAATAGTTGTGGCTCGTTGTGATAAGGGCTCTGAATTTGGGAAACCAGGGCGTGTGGAGGGTCAGAGGAAGGAGGGAGAGGAGGATGCTGGGACCGTTTTGCAGAGAAAGTGTATCATGAAGAGGGTGGGAATGCAACAGGATTAGGAGTGGGCTGGGGATGAGCAGGGGAGTGGTATTCCAGACAGATTGAATAATTGGAGCAAACGAAGTTCAGAGGCGTGAGAAGCTGGGATGTGCTTGTGAGCTTCAAAGGGTTCATCATGGCTGGAAAGGAGAGTGTGTGGAGACATGGGTGTAAAATGAAGTTTCGGGAACAAGAATGGAGCAGACCATGGAGACCTCGAGTGCCATGCAAATGAGCAAATTTGCATGGTGCTCTAGGTCCTGTGTGATCGTGAGTTTACTCTCCATCTTAAACCCTACAGCAAGTCACCAAATCATCAAGAGGTTTCAAACAGGGGAGTGACGCCCTGATTTGTGTTTAGAAACTCTGTGTGGAAGTGGATGGGACGAGGATGGTGGGGTGGGAGGAGGTGGATAGAGTGACAGTTATTGACAGAAAAAAGAAAAGTTTCTCTGAATGAAGCAAAAGCCTCATTTTCATTTACTATTCCCAGTCAAAGTGGACCTGATCATGGAGGCTTGAGCAAGCTCACACAGTGGTGCAAGAGAGCAACTAGACTAGAGCCTGCAGGCACACAAGACCTTATTCTTACCTTAACCCCATCATGTGCGCCCTTGTCTCAGGAGAGCCACCAGAGCAGCAGGCAGGCTGACTATATGAACAGCTGGGAAAAGCTAGGTAAAGAAGAAAAGCTTACCACTTGTCTCTCCTTGTTAAAGGAGGGTCGTATCAACTTACAGTGGTGACATTCCAACTTGTACTTGCCAAATTAGTTCACCAATCAGAATTTTTTACAACTGGATAGGAGTGTATGCCAGTGCTTGGGGGAAAAATGAGCAGGTATTGGTGAGAATCATCACAGGAAAAACAGTGGATGTATCTAACTGTAATATAAGATATTCAGCATTAAAAGTCATAATAAAGTAGATAAATTGCTGTGGTGTGCATGGGAGTCACGCAGAAAACACATAACCAATGTTGTTGACTGATGGGCCCACCTGCAAGAGGCACTCTGGGGACAGAAACTGGGGCGAGAGGTGGAGCTCAGCCACCATACCGGGGAAGCTTTGGAAGGGGTGGGAGATGACAAGGGGTTGATATTGTGACTCAAGACTTATGGTTCTTTTCCCCTTCTGACTTCTCTGTGCAGGTGCAGTGCCACACTTACACGGGGTACTGCTGGTGTGTCACCCCAGATGGGAAGCCCATCAGTGGCTCTTCTGTGCAGAATAAAACTCCTGTATGTTCAGGTACCGTAGGGAGGGCGGGAAGAAAGGAAAGGGTTGGAGAGAGACCTCTTGGCTGTCTCCTGCATCTCGTAGGGGAAGCTTTGAAAGATGATTGGTGGTTGTGAGCCATCCCCCAGGTCAGGGAGGATTCCACTCAAACACACTCGCTCTGTAGTCAGCTGGGTGATAGGGTCGCTATATGTATGGCTGTGTGCATATATTTATTATTTTAAGTTTAGGTTTCTGTTTCAAAGCCCTTTTCCCGAGTATTAGCTGTAACCCCTAGAGCATGGCATATACATTTCTAGCTTGCATGCTCTGGTTGCTAGTGGCCCTGGAAGTACTTTATTGAGATGGATTTCAAGACTGCATGGGAATTCAACATCAAAAGCTGCGATGATCAATTAATGATGTCTGTCAAGAGAGGAGAATGGTGGCCTATGTGCCATATATTTTCCACTCCTGAACAATGTAATGTAGAGTGATGGAAAACTTTCATATCAGTGGCCCTCAAATCTGGCTGTCATCAGAAGTGCCTGGGGAATTAAAGAGAACCTAGCTGTTGAGACCCCTTCTTGTATATTCTGATCCGGTAGGTCTGGAGTGAGACCTCGAGTGTGTATGAGGCTTCTCAGGTGGTTCTGATGATTAGACAAGTGAGGGAACCATGGCATCATAGTAACCCTTTGGGTCAGTCCATGGCAAAAATTAAGTCTTTTCTATTTCCAACTTTATAAGCATAGAGACATTTTACTCTAAGGTCAACTTCATGGGATTGTGGCTTATGGATTTACTCAAGCTCCACACTTTCCACTTCCATTAAGATGGTAAGGGACTTGAGAGTCATTCCCTTAATCCACTAGGCAACTTAGTCCTCATTCAAAGAAACCCTGTCCCACCATTAGCAGCTTTATATTTCTCCATATCTGTGTGTATGAGGTTATATTTATTTACTTATTCTTAATTTTTAAGTGCAAGCAAAATATAAAACATTATTCTAAAACCTGTGGGAAATTCCAAAGGCTAACAGTCCTGCTAGCCTAACATTTATATTTTTTTCACAAAATGTATTCATTTTTCTACTGGCCTTGCTATATAAATGCAGAAGTAAGTAGGAAGGTCAGTGAGTATCTACATTAGGGAACCAAGATTTGCAGGCCAAAAAGGAAAGTTTACTTTATTTGTGGTTTACACGGAAACTGGAAACCTTAATTGGGGTTGGTGTGGGGAGGGGCCGGAACGAGCAGTGCTCCTTGCAGATGACCTGGAAAGTTTCATTTAAAGCAAACAAATGCACTAGAAACAAGTCATGCAGGGTAAGATAATTGAATTCTCACAAAATTAGTACATGGAGAAGGGGTATGGCCTAGATTGGGGAAATATGGATACTTTCTTTTCTTTTATGGGTGGGACCACCACAGATCACAGATGCCCTGCCTGTGTGGGCTTCGTGGAGAAGGCAGGTGCCACAGGGTCACGACTGCAGGTTGGGTGCACATGGTATCTTAGCATACGCAGGGCAAAGTGTTGGGCCAAACACACACACTACCCCCTCCACCCCCTTGAGGAACAGGCTGCATGTAGAAAATTGTTTCCATGCCTCAGACTATTTTGGCCCATTCAGTACAATTGGGCTAACAATTTTCTACTTAATTCAGATGGAAAATCGACAATTTCCTGCCCTTACCAGCAAGTGATGTCAATCATTGCATTTGCAGTAAGAGGGGGTTTCTTTTTGGTTGGCCCTACTGTGGATATGGCTCAGAACATGGAGCTGGTGGGACGTGGGGGAGATGGGGAGTGGAGGCAAGGGGCAATTATTGGAATGTTCAACAAGGGAATTATATGGATGTGGAATTTTGTAAAAATCTGGTCAAGACTATCACCAAGGAACCTGGAAATCATGGTTCATCTCAACAGTGCTGTGATATCAGTGACACTGACGTTAAACAAACCCCACTCGACATGTATGTATGTGCTAACTTTGTGTATAATGTCCCTAGATGTGTATACTAAAAACATACGCATAACCATATGCTCATAACATCAGGCTTTGCCAGCTCTTTGAAAGGAACCAACCGCAATGCATTCTGAATGTCTTTGTTTTTGTTTCCCCTCTCACCCAAGGTTCAGTCACCGACAAGCCCTTGAGCCAGGGTAACTCAGGAAGGAAAGGTGAGTAGAGTTTTATGCTTTATCGAAATGTTTGCTTCTAAAGCCAGTCCAAGCAGGAATTCTTGGACAAGATGGAAGAAGCTGGGGTGAAACTAAAAGTGCCCCGCAGAAAATCTCCATTCTTATTCTTTGTTTCCTCCCAGAAGCACCGGAGGTAAGTAAGGCGCATAGGTGGTGGGGACCGGGCTCCCAGAATTTCTGAGGGAGGTAAGCGAGTACAGAGCACAGAGCTGGCAGGGACCCCGAGAATCTTGGGAAGTTCAGTCAATCATCTACCAGTGTAGCCCGACATTAAACCAAGAAGGATGATGAGAGTAGGCGTGCCCAAGTCTGCCCAGATTCTCTTATTTTGGAAACCCATTTGAGCATTTTTCCCCTCACTTATTCTCCGTGTTAATTGTTCCAGCCCATGCAGATTCTCCTTTTTAAGACTGTGCTGGTTTCATGGGCTTGCGACCTGTGCAGTTGTTGTCATGAAATTCTTGATTATTTTATCGTTGAACTTGTGTTTTGTAAATATGCAAAGTAGGTGGAGCAATGGAGCACTGAGCAGAAGAAATACCTGCAAAGTGCATATCTGGCCGCCATGTGCATGGATATAGCTTTTGTGTTGCATGCTACAGAGTTTTTATCGTGTCCTTAGAATTTTATTTTACCTAGAACAGCATTAAATAGCAAATGAAAAACTACCGTGGCAAGTCAAGGAGACACGATGGAAGAGAGGATAAAACTTGATGTTTTTGTGTCCTTAATGACACGTTTTCTTGCTTTTTAAATAAAGGGCCTTGCATTTTCATTTTAGCACAAATTATGTAGCTAACGCTGATGAAGGCATTTGTCTGAGAGCTATTTCGAGGACCAGCCACCCTGAGGAATGGGTCCCTGGGATATGCTGACCATGACTTCCAGTATGCCAGACACTCACATTCACCACAACTTACCTCCAGGGTGACATACACACAGAGAGCTGTAAGTGCATAGAAAACAAATGTCAATGTCATTGCACGAGCAAGCAATCCAGAACCCCCATTTTGGGCTTTTAGGGAAAACCCAGACAGGGGCCTTGACTGAGTTTGAGCTTTTCCCCTGAATCTGGGCCTTGGGAACTTTGTGCTCATGAGTTCACATGAGAGTTGGGTCTGCAGAGACTCAGTGTGAGGTGCATGGGCTTGTTCCACTCCCCACCCCCCACCCCCACCTGCCCCGGAGACCAAAGCCAGGCCCTGCACCTTGCCCCAGGTGCTTATTCCATGGGGAATGCAAGAGATGAGAGTCCGGAGAACCTGCTGCCCCTAAATGCAGGTGTTCCAAGAAGACGTGGAAGTAAAGCATGGTGACACCACTACCCACTAGAAAACATGGGCTAATTGACCAGATGGGCTGCTCCCCTTCCCATAAGCAAGAATGAGTAAGTGGGTGAAAAGAAGAGAACAAGTGCCTTTGTAGGTCCTTCCCAGAACAGTGGAGACAGCCATACGTGTTGGTGGTTCCCTTCTGGGTGGGAGAGTGGGAAAGGGGCATGAATGTTTCTTTCTGCAAAAACCTGAAATCATCAACACTGTGCATGGCGTGAGTCTGTCTACAATTTACTGGAGTTGAAAATGACAGCTGCTTTCAGTTTTGCTTGTTGCAGCTGAAGTTTTCAGAACATCACCTTGACTTCTGGGCATGAGGTCCTGGTAGCAGAAAAAAAATTGGCAATCACACAAAAGCGACCGCTCAGATTTCCCCCACCAAGGGGACTGAGTACATGACACTGAATAAAGCACCCACACCAAGAAAGGCCAACCATGGGGTTTGGGTTCTTCAAGTGCACAGAGAAGGACTTTCCAGGTTGATGTGGCTTTGCACCCTGTGGACAATAAGACACAGACCCGTGGTCATGGCAGGGTCCCATGGATCCAGCTGGAAGAGGGCAGGGGCCCCTGATTCCTCCAGGGGTGCTGCAGGGCCCAGGGGGCATAGAGTCTGAAGCCTCATCTCAGAGATAACTTGCCATCAGTTCCCAGTTTTTTGCTCTCCTATCGCAGATGGGTTCCTCCCTTCCAGATGGTTCTGCGGAGGCTTCCTCTTTGGTGCAAAGGCCTGGGGCAGGGGGTGGGGGGAGGCCAGGGCTCCCTTGCCCCTGGAGACTGGGCTTTTGCCCAGCGGGCTCTCTTTCCTTCTACTTTGGAGGATCAACGTAAGTACTATTCCTCTTCTTTTTGTCTGCCATGGGCAGTGCAGTGAAAAGCAGGTTCGGGCCACCTGTAAGAAGGGCCACCTGAAGTCACACCTGTCCAGGAAGCTGGGGTTTGAATGGGGACGGGGTGCGAGAGGGCATTCGTAATATCCTGTGTCGGCCCACCAAGGTCCCTTTCAGCTGCCACTTAAGAATGGAATGTGCTCCGGAGGGCAGCAGGTGGAAAGACACAAAAGCCTCTTGTCCGAGTTCGTGCCCACATGTGGGGTCTCCTAGAAAGCATCTCCCCAGAGCTAGAGCTTGCAGCTCCAAGGCCTGCTGCAGACAGATGCTAGGCCTGGACCCTCGTGCAGGGTGAGGGGTCCTGCCAGAAAGGAGGTGAGGGCTGAGGGTTGGGTGTGTGTTTGGGGGGTGGCGGCGGAGGAGCGGTCCCAGCCGGTTCTTTCCCCACCCTCTTGCCGGCTTGAACGCTGACAGGGCTGGAGGGATCGGTTCTCTCCGCCTGGAAGGAATGAAAAGGCGTATTGTGCGACGACGGAGCGTCTGGTTGCCAGCCAGGAATTAGTCCTCCCAAGGAGAGGAGGAGAAAGGCAGAGCGAGAGGAGGCTGGGGGAGGACGCTCAGAGAGATAGCAGGAGGAAGGGCGGAGGGAGAGAGGCCAGGCGGTCGCAGGTCACAGCCGTTTGGCAGGACAGGAGGCTTGGGTTGCTGTGGCTCCTGGGTCCGCAGGTGTGGGGCCCGAGGGGAGAAGGGGGGGGGTGAAGAGGGAGGGAGGCGCTGTTATCTTACCCAGATGCATGCGCTCCGGGAAGGGAGGAGGGTCGGAACTTCAGACTATTTATTTAATCCCTTGGAATGTCCTTGCCTCGCTCTGATCTTTGGGCCCCTTGTGTTTCACGGACTCCTTTACGGGCACATGTGTGGTAATTAACACGTGCAGTGTAGGTCCTGGCCATGTGTTTGAGTTTCAAATATCCATTGATCTGGGGCATTCCCATCCCGGCCCCCCCTCCCCTTCTTCCTTGGTCCTCACCGTTGAAGAGCGATGGAAGGGGTCTGCGTGTATTTGGAGGGTGGGCGACACACACGCACCCACATGTGTTTTATTGATGATACAGAGGAATATCAGAGAGGAAAGGGCCCCCAGCAGCCCCTTAAGCTCTGACGATCTGCTGCCAAAAACAGTTGAGGATTGCAGAAGTTTAGGCAGAGATGAATATTTTTAGTCTTAACCAAAGTCGTCGGAAGGAAAGTGGCTAGGAAGCAAATGTGCTTAGAGATTCTGAGTCTACCCTGAATGTCTTTTTCCTGGTTGACCAAGGCCTGTGGATTTTCCTGAGTTGCCTCTTCTCAGGGTCTTGATGCTAATGAATGTGGATGTTTTGGGGAGGTTCCTGGATAACCGAACATCGGGACTGGTCCTGGGCTTCATTGCTAGTGAGGTACAGGAGGGAAGTTCCCAGACTCCAGTGGGGTGATGGTGAAGAATGGTCACATGAGAGAATTATTGGAGGACACTTGCAAAGTGACTTCCGGCAGTTCTCTAGGAGCTATTTTCTTCTGAGTAGCCAGGACCTTAGAGATCCCAGGGTGATGCTTTGATAAATGGCAAGTGAAAGTGTAGGATTATCAGGAGTTTTCTGCAGTTTGCTTTTTCCCCTTCTTTTAAGAGGTCTGGGAATTAGCTTTTTAAGGAAAGTGAGAAAAAAAACCACACAAAAACATTAGCAGACTCTGCTGACATATTCTGCATGGGCTTCTGTATTTGTCCAGCCAGACTTGGAGAGGGGCTGAACTTCCAAAACTTTGATTTGCAGAGACTTTTTTTATCCCCTGCTCGTTGCTGCTCCATAGTATGTGCTCCAAGTAAAGAGTGGGTCACAGTCATTTCTCCAAGGTCCCTCTCTGTGTCTCTGTTTTTAGAATTTCCCCTGGAACCTGGTCTGAGGGTTGGTACCAACTTGGAGATCTTGTCACTCAAGTGATGGATTAAGCAGCACCTTTATTCAGGGCTGAGGGATGTGCTTAGGGCAGGGGTGATGGATGACAGGCATCCCAGAGGACAGGGACTGGGTGGCTTTCAGCCTCAGCCCTCATGGGGGTTGGTTAGCATACTGAAGAGGGGTTCACTTTGTTGCCCCAAGCCTGACTGAGGTGTACGAAGCTGGCTGTCTTGGGATATTGGCAAAAGTCTGATTACCTACCAGCCTGGGTTGGATTTGAATGGAGATAGGCAGCTGAGTGACCTCTACGGGTTGGTCTCTGTGCGTGTTGCATTCCCTGTGGAGAAGCATTCTCATTCTGAATCTGTGCCTGCTGAACAGAACTGTACCAAAGCAACTCCAAGTCCATGAGAACCAGCTCTTTGCTCTCTGCATGCATATTGCTGCTGCTTTCTGGTGCTCTGAGCCACCCTGACCCATCTGGCATATCAGTATACCAGTTTTGAGGAGACCAGTTGCAGAAGGGGTATGCATGAGTGTGCCTGAGTGCTCATGTATGCACCACGTGTCCCTACTGCCCACGGTTAAATACTCTCCCAGCTTGGCTCCATCTACTCAACCCCCTGCTCTCCATCTCACCCCCTACCCTAGGGTCCCCAAAAGAAAGTTTATGCATGGAGGATACTAAACTAAGAGTTTGAATCCCTGCCATACCCCGTATCCAAGGACTGGAGAGGAAATGGGGTTTAGGGACCTGGAAAAGCCTCCTAGTCATAGATTCTTATGCGTCCCTGGTATTAGCAGTGACCATTGGTGTTTTGCACTTGGTTCTCTTACTCTTGGATTCAACAAATATTTACTGAGAACTTACTAAG